GTAAATAAATTCTTTCTTGCCACTGTTCTGTGATCCGTGGATTTATTCTCCAAATCACAAGACCAAGACCCTGAAAGTCTGGTATCACACTCACTTCCTGCGAAAGCTGCCCAGTCATGATATCTTTATACACAGTATAATTAAATAGAAAAATTTAATTTAAAATAAAAGCATATATAAGAGCATGGTTTTCATGAATAGCCATAATTTGTAATCACTAAATAAGCTTTAACAGTTTATGAATAGAAGTGAATTCTTGCAAAGTCAAACAACAGAATAATGTAGAGATCTGAAATAATTAGTGTAAAATATTTGAAGACTATGATGAAGTCTATAAATATAATATTGACTACATAAGCTGCTACTAAAGCGTTTGAACATTTAACATCTTACCATTTCTTCTTCACTATCTATGTAAAGCAGAGTGGAGTTCTTAGAAGCACAGGCCATCAGACTTTCATTCCAAGGTTTTAATTCCTTACCACTGTAATAGCAGTTGCTGGAATATGTGAACCACTCCTCTGGACAATGATCACAGTGATATGCTGAAGAAAAACTAGAAATTACTTTCTGGAAACAATATGAATTTGTTAAATGAATATAAATTTACATATTTTCAATGTATAAAATATATGTACATGTCTTTGCGTCCTCACAGGCTGGTAAATATAAAAGAAAAACCACACACACACACATGCACCTGAGGTTCATCCTCTCATCCCATAATTATACTGCCACATAAAGCAAAAAATCAAACATAAATGCACCCAGTACATGTCTAAAAAAATCACTGAACAAAACTATCTTTTCTAAAAAAGCAAAATTATTTAACTGTTATCACATGGTAAAATTACTAATTTGAGTAAAACAGGAAAAGGAGGTATAATGACTCTAAAATGAGTATTTCTACTTGCTTTTGAAGAAAAGGGAACACCCTCCTATAATCTTTATCAATGATTATTGCCCAATATTTCAAGTTTTTCTGCCAACAATATTGATTATAGGTTGTGTATACTCAAAGATTGATAAAAAATAAAACATGACTAAAATCAGTACCTTTCTGAGTTGTGACATTCAGGAGAGAATTGTTCTGCTTCTGTGTTACTATAACTGGAAAAAATAAGTAATCCGTATTAAACAATTAACATCTAAATATAATATTTTACATCCTATGAAATAGAGGCACTTTCAGTCATTAAAGTGAAAAGTTCAATTGTAATCTTACAAAAATATACTTACAGGGAATAAAAGTTATAGCTTTTAACACAGAGGCCAGTAGGACAATGCAAACGACTCCCAGGATCTCAGCCGTGAGCTGGTGACAGTCCGGAGGTAACAGTGAGACTGCAGAGAGAGAAACAGAGACACTGAGAAAGGAAGATGGAGACAGCTGTTTAGAGGGTTTACAGACAAGACAACCTACATGGACAGGGAATCAAATGGATAAACTCTTATCTCTAAACCCGCATCTACCATAGGAATCTTTCTTTTAAAATATACTGTAGCATTTTCATAAGTATAATCCTCCATGTTTTGTTAATCAAGGCCTGCAAATTTAACAATGCATGAATAAAATTAGTCTTCAGGTTTCATATTAGAAAACCTTGAGCTCTGATCCTCACAAGAAAAATATCCCCTCACTGGGCCAGATATGATACTAATGCTTGAATCCCGGCACTCTGGGAGGCTGAGGCAGATGGATTGCCTGAGCTCAGGAGGTCAAGACCCCAAAGTGAGGCCCCATTCCCACTAAAAATAGGAAAAACTAGCCAGGCATGGTAGCACACATCTGCAGTCTCAATTATTTGGGAGGCTCTGACAAGGGGATTGTTTGCACCCAGGAGTTGGAGGTTGCTGTGAGCTAGGATGCCAGTTACTCTACTCAGGACACAGAGGGACGCTCTGTCTCAAAAAAATAAAAATCCCCTCATCTTTCTCACACCTTTTCCCGCAACTGTACATCTCAAAACAGCTATGCTGAAGATCTATTAAATGCTTACATGTGTGGGAACACGGCTCGTCTTCCCCCTGGAGATTCAGAGTAGCGTTTTGAAGGTTTAATTCCTCATGGCTTATTTCCTGTTCAGTCTCTGAAATGGAGCTTTTCCCACCCTTAGGTTTTCTTTGATGCCCCTTAGGGTCCTTGGCCAGATTCAGTCTTGAGAAGGTGACTCTTTGGTCTTTCATCCCTGCAGCTGTGTGATCAGAGACTGGGCTCTATGAGAACTGTACTTAAGAAGTTATTAAATGTTTTATTTAATGTAATGTTCTATGGTATAGTTAAAGGAAGTGTATTATAATGTAAAAGTCTGATGGTAATTTCCTTAAAGCCAGAAACAAAATTCTTATGATTGAACAGGTAATTTTACAAAAAATTTTACATTTTACACTGGACATATATTGTTAGTTGGAATCATAAAAGACAAGAAACTAGTGTGGAATAGAAGTCCAAAATTTCTTTATTAATATAAAGTTAGATTATAAGATATATTTTAACACCAGTAAAACATGTGTGTTAAAAATTAAAATTCTGGGCTCAGCACCTGTAGATCAGTGGCTAGGGCACCAGCCATATACACAGGAGCTGGCGGGTTCAAATTCCACTCAGGTCTGCCAAACAACAGTGACAACTACAACCAAAAAATAGCCAGGTGTTGTGGCACATGCCTATAGTCCCAGCTACTTGGGAGGCTGAGGCAAGAGAATTGCTTAAGCCCAGGAGTTAAGAGGTTGCTGTGAGCTGTGGCACCATGGCACTCTACCCAGGGTGACACAGTGGGACTCTGCCTCAGAAAAAAAATTAAAATTCTATATTGAAATAATAGGGCACTAATTTTAAGATAATTTAAAAATGCATTCATCAGTAAGGAATGAGTGCCTTTGGATGGAAAAATAATATTAGAACATATAGTAATTTTCTACGCTAAAATACTTCTAGTTAGTGACTTACGCATTCCAAAGTTCAGAAAGATCATATGGTATCAATATATAAGGGTCACTTAAGTTGTGTAAACATGAGTAATAATTCAGATAACATAATCTGGTATATAGTACATGAGCTCTGAAGTCTGAGCTACAGAATTATTGGCATTGAAATTTATAATGTGTAACTTTCAAAAAGTTACCTAGTATCTAGAAACTTAGTTTACTAATCTCAAATGGAAAAATAATTTACAAGATATAATATATGTAAAACATTTAACATGCATGTGGCACTTTAACCCCTTAAAAATATTAGCTATTTCAACTATGATTAAATCCATGGCTATATTATTATATCTGATTCACATTAGTGAGTGTAAAAGAATTCCCTAGGTAGGAGGCTTCTCTCTCACTGAGGGACATATTTTTGTTGCAATGTTTTGCTCCTTTTTAAGTCTTTCAATTGCTAATAATAGTTTATAGTTGGATTTTACTAATTATCTCACCTTATTTCGGCTAACAATAACACTGCCTCCATTTAATCTACAAACATAAATAAGAAATTATATTTGACATCCATAATTTGAAGTATTTATTTTAACCATTTGCTTTTCAAGGCAGGGCTAAATAGAAAACATTATTGTACCTATTCTGATCAAAACTCCAACATTAATTGTTATGATTGTTACAGATTTTATTTTAAATAATCTTGATTAGCAATGCTAACATCATGTGCATGCGTTCTTAATTGTCTACAGGCAATAATTTGAATACTTTAGGAAATCCTTTAACATATTTTATACTTTAGGCTTCTTTTGCACCCCAAATTATTTAAGTAAAAGCACCAATGTTCTACTCTGAAATCATCCTATATTAATTTTACCCCAACTGAATCACAGCTAGTATTCAAAGACTGTCAACACATACCTTCTGTAACCAGAATGTCCTGCATCCTTCAGTGGAGAGACCTAGTTACTCTTGACAAGAAAGAGGAAATATCTGTGATCTTCAGAGTGCCCTGTGAAGCCTCAGAGTGATGCAAGAGTAGAGAGGGTGGATTTCTAATCAACATGTCACTGGCTTGGCACCAGCAGCACAGTGGTTACAGTGTCAGCCACGTGCACCACACCATGTGCATGTGCTGGTGGGTTCGAAGCCAGCCCAGGCCAGCTAAACAACAATCTGCAACAAAAATATAGCTGAATGTAGTGGTGGGTGCTTGTAGTCCCAGCTACTTGGGAGGCTGAGGCTAGAGAATTGCCTAAGCCCAAGAGTTGGAGACTGCTATTTTGCCACGGTACTCTACCCTGGGTGATATAGTGAGACTGTCTCCAAAAAGAAGAAAAAAAAAATGTGTCACTAAAAGTTTGAACAGGAAATTCTCACCCTTGGGCTATTCTGAAATCACTAACATCTCATCACACACCTCCAACATATAGATGACACTGAGCTCCAGCATGATTCAGTTTGTCCATTTTCAAGCACCTCTGGAAACTATTTTCCTATTTGCTAAGGTAGTAGAGAACAGAAGCTTGACTACCCATGTAGTTAAGTGTTTCTTTCTCAATCACAAATGCTAAAACGCTAGGCCTGTTAACAGGGCCTTAAATATTTAAGTTCTACATTTAGACAAAGTTGCTAAAACCTTCCTTACGCCCTTATTAATGTAATTGCTATCATAATGAAAAACATTTTGAAATCATAGTCATATTATGAGTAGGAATTTAATGTATTTGTCACTAAGTATTCTAAGGAATTACCGCATTCTCAACTTTATTATAAGTCACATCGATTCCCAAATTTAAATTTCCAAATTTTTCTACTTGATGCTTTGGCTTAGTTCTTAAAATTTCCACGTTTGGTTTTACTCTTTATAAATAAGTTAATCAGATTTCTCTGATAAAGTAAATGTCTCAGGAAAGGATCATATATTAAACAAAATTGAGCTATATCCCCATGCCAGAGATTGAATTATTAAAAGTACTTGATCTTGTTCACTGATTTATTCTCCCATCATGATGAATTATATGTGTTTTAATAGGAATAATTTGTTGTGAATGTGTAAGTCTTAGTTAACCATGTGGGAAGAAATTCTAATTTAAAAAAATGTTACCTAACTAAAAATGGGGAGGCAGCCTTTTACGACACTGGCTAAATGACACATGAATGTAAAGAGAAAAAAATGATCTACTTTGTATTAAGTAGAAATCTTTTCCTCATTCTTTCTTTCTTATGAGGAAATGGGGGGTTTGGTATTTCTAATAATACCAAAGGATATTTCACAAAAACTTGTAAAATTTATTTCAGAAAAACTCAATTTTCAACTTTCTGAAGTCTAGAAAACTAGAATTTAAGTTTATATTTATTACCTTGGAAGCAGAACAATTAAGTGAGCCTTAGAAGAAAATGGCTAATTTTGACTAGGTATATATGCATTTCTGTTAGTTATATTTTAATGTCCTTTCATAAAGTAAATTAATAATATGATACATATATTTTTATTTTCTATTTTGTGTATTAACATTAGATATAAATTTATTTATATTTACTTTTTACATTTAAATAATCAAATTAATTATTCTTTCTATGAGTCACATTATAGAACTAAAACAATATCCTCATTAAACTCCAAATAATAGAACATTAACTAATATCTTCTTGTTAAATTTGTGGTACTTATGTCTATTATCCCCACCAACATCCACTTGATATTTTCAATTGCATAAGGTTATATATTCATGCCTGACTTGGGGACAGGGATACATGCCACTATTCTGAATAACATAACCAATTGTAACATAATGTTTAATTAATACACATATTTGTGTTACATATATTTAAACATAAAAAGTCCAGCAAAGGTATGGCATTAAGGGGCAGAGCAAGATGATAGACCAGAAGGATCATTTACTTGAACTCTACTACTACAACTAGGGAAAAAGTGATAACCCAGCCATATCTGGAGCGGGGACCTTACCCAGAGTCATTGCTCATAGAGCACAGCAAAGTGCTAGTGAGCTGGATATAGCGTGCGATCCAGACCAGTGGAAATCTGACTCATTAGGCAAGTGATTGCAAGCCACCAGGATTGGTCACTCTCCATCCCCCCACAGAGGGCCAAGATGGGAGGAAGCCTTCCCAAAGTTTTCAGTTTGGGGGGAAAGCTTGGAAGAGTGGGCAGATTCCAACAGTATTCAGCAACAGATTTGAATACCAGTTCAAGTGGATTTGCCATCAGGTTGGTGACTGGTGAGGCAGCCATAGTGAGAAGGTCTAGGAGGCCAGGGAGCCCTGTGGGAACATCATGAGAAGGTCTTAGCCAGGACCTAAAGCACATCTTTACTCTACCCACCAGGATCAGTCCCTCCAGTCAAGCTGAGGGACTCCCACACGCCACGGAAACTGGCATCAGGGGGCAGTCTGAGACCTGCCCCTGAAGGATTCTGGAGAGTTTTACGATCCCAAACCCATGGGGTCTGAATGCTGAGGAAACAATCAGGTGAACATCTATTATTAACTAAGTTAGGAATAAGGACCATAGAGGTTGCTGGCTGTGTTCTCTGTCTCCTAAAAAAACCACAGCACCATATAATGCAACATATATATTCCTATTAAAGTTGGTCCCTTCTACTATATATATGTACATATATGAAAATTTTTTTTAGTTTTTTTTAATTAATTAATCCATTAAAAAAATTTTTTTTTTTTTACTTTCTGTTTGTTTCTACATTTCTTGGGTTGCTGCTGATTTTGGCTATTTGAGGTTTCTTTGTTTTATGTTGTTGTTGTGATTTGTTTTTGCTCATTTGCTTGTTTGGTTCTATTCTTAACTTCCATTTTTACTTTCATCAAGAGCAAGGGCTCCTGCATTTTTGGTCATGGTATTTTAGCCTCGTTTATACTCTCTCTACTCTGCTCCTCTCCATTCTTTCTTTTAATAGAGACTCCTCTACTTTTCTCATCTTTCCCCCACATGGAACAACTAAGACATCATGTTCTCTTTTTGTCTTTCTTCTTTCTTTCCTTTTCTCTCTCTTTTCCGTATTTGATACAACTTAATTTTCTTTATTTCTTCTTATTTTATTATTATTTTCTCTTTTTCTTTCTCATGTTTTCTTTTTTCACTGAATGCTCGGTTGGCACAACTATGGTTTTGTGGGAAAGTCACACAGCAGCCTGGTTGAAGGAGGCCAAGATATCATGGTCTAGGGAGCCCTTCTACCTTTGGCTGCAGGAAGACAGAATTGGCAAGTCCACACTAAATA